TCAGGAAACACCCTAACTAAACTTCTTAAGGTAGGAGACCAGTCGACGCCTTTCTGTGTTAGTGCCTCTTCATGTCACCTTGTCCAAACCCCTTCCTGCTTCCCCCACACCTGGAGGTATCGCGCCCCTGCCCCCAAACCAAACCTGCCCTTATACCAACTGAATGAGTTCCTCTGACTTGGGGACAGTCCCTGCTTGAGGATGGGCTGTGCTACTGGCCCCCCAGGGAAGGTGAAAAAATGGACATTTCTCACCAGGGGAGGGAGGCATACTTAAAGAAATAAAAAACCTGGTCAAAGTAACACTACAAATGCCTTTAAGATCGGAATGATGATTTTTCCTTTCTATTCGTCACGTCTGTCTTACGAAATGGGAAAGGAGAACTCTAGCCTTTGGTAACTTTTGAATCACCAGCAGAGGGCAGACATTGCTTACCTAAAGGCAAAATTGTAGTTCTGTGCGCGTTCAAGCCCAGACTGCACTGCCGGTACAGACAGCACTGCGGGCACCGGGGATCAGCTGCCTCTCCTGGTTGCTGTCTTGCTCTGGGCCGTAGTTGGCATGATCAAACTCTCCTCACCATTAAAATTCTGTATCTGGAAAGATCTGATTTCTCTCTCTCTCCTTTTCTTGGTGTGTGACAATCTGAAACTCTTTCTTGAAAAATGGAAAAAATATTATTTTTCCTAATTATAAATAATGCATGAGCATTGGACAAAATTTGAAAGAAAATAAAAGCACAGAGGAAAATTGCACCTTCCAGAGATGGTCACAATTAGCTATCTTTTTGGTGCTCTTCCTTCTAATCTTTTTTCTATTAAAACTTCTGAAGTGCATTTGTAGCAATGACACGGAAGGGGCCTGGACATGCTGATAGATGTACAAACACACTCTGTTTCCCTGCCGCCGTGCCTTTGCTCACCCAGCTCAACTGAGACCTCTCCTTCTAAACTCTGAAAAAATCCAAATCCTAGATATTCTTCAAGGTTAAGCTCAGATGCCTTGCGCGATTCTTCCCAGCAGGAATTGATCTATGTTCTCTGTAATTTTGTGTCACTGTGTCTTTGACTCTCATGGCAATTACCACCTTTTGCCACATATTAGGATTTTTACGGACAATGGAATCCTCCTGCAAGGTCTAACTCTTATAACTGTGGGACTCTCACTTCATCTTTCTGTCCTTCATAGCACCGTCACTGGGTCCTCACAGAAAAATACCCATGAGTGTTTCTGAAAAGGAAAGAAGGGAGAGAGAAGGAAGGAAATTTTTCATTGTAACTTGCAACAAGCTTTTGAGGAAAACGGGAATTACTCCAGCTTCACACAGGAGGCCCAGAAATCTTAAGTGCTGGCTCATATGTATAATGTCATTTGGTGGAATTTTCCGACATTGGAAGACTCAGAGTTTGGGCATTTTTGTGTGTTGAATTGTGCATTCCAAAAGGATATGTTGAATCCTCAGCCTCTGGTACTTGTGAGTGTGACCTTGTCTGGTAACAGGGTCTTTGCAGATGAAATGGGGTTAAGGTGAGGTCATACTGGATTAGAATGGACCCTAAATCTAATCTCTGTGCCCTTAGAAGGAGACGAGATTTGGGCACAAGACACACCTAGGAGGATAACCATGTGAAGAACAGGCAGAAACCTGAGTGATGCAGCCACAGGCCAAGGAATGCTCAAGGCCGTCAGCAATCACGAAGCTGAGAGATGCAGGGGTGGATTCTCGCCCAGAGCCTCAGAGAGGTGTGGCCCTGCTGATACCTTCACTTCATTCCTCTAACTTTTAGGACTACGAGAAAGTAAATTTCAGTTGTTTTAAGCCCCCCAGTCTGTAGTAGTTTGTTATAGCATCCCAGGGAAACCAATGCATCAGGTTAAGAACTCTTAGTGACAACAGGCCTATCTGGGGAATGAAGGGAAGTCCTAGGGATATTTGGAAGGAAATTAAAATTTCAAGGAGATATAGGGAGTTCTCGGTGAGGTTAAGACAGAAGGGGGTTGTTTGATGGGTTCAAAGGTAGCTTTCTATTGTTTCTTTACCAGAATTTTAGCATGGGCACATCCTTCGTTGCCCGTCATTTATATTTCAAGGTATCAGGCATTATTGAAGGTCTTTAAAAAAAAATGTTGCAAAAGTTTAACCATCTGATTTCTCCTGTATCATCAATGGACTATTTCTAAACACACACAACAGTGATGGTGTCTTGTTAGCTCCTAAGTAGTTTCTGTTGTATCATGATTTGTTTCTACAGATGATGTGAAAAGCTAAAAAATGATAACCAGCCAGATCAAACTCTTAGAATAAAAAGGATTTAATGTACTACAGCTGTCCATCTATCCATTATCATTCTAAGATTCTTATAAGATTCTGAGGATTAAATTATAACTGGGAAAATATTGCCAGAGTAAGGGAATGGAGTTTTCTCTCTGAAATAAGCCCAAATGCCCCTCCTCACCCTCATAAATTGGTTACATAGATCTGTGGCCCTAGATCGATCAATTCTTAGAATAAAGCGACTCGCAGGAGGTGTAGGAGAGGCTGCCTGGTAAATGTCATCATTACTCCTCAGGGGAGGAAAAACGAGTCAGCAGACACCTAGGTGACTTTCCTTAGACTCCCATGGTGGCCTTCATATGCCTCCAACATTACATGAATAATGATGAAGTTGATGGTGACAGGAATGAAATAATAACTGTCATCACTGGAACAAAACTAACACTATTCCCGAAAGGATTTTAGCCTAGGAGTGTCTGGCACATAGTATTCACTCAGTGAAAGTTCCCTGAATGAATGGAACACGTGAATAAATAAATGAACGAATTAGTGGAGTTTGATCCCTCCTAGCAGTGCTCTTTATCACTTTGTGACTGAATTGATTTCCATAATTTCCTGGCAGGATGTCTAAGACTGAAAAAGGCTCAGTAAATAATGACAATATATGGCCAAAGCCATTAATTTTGAATAGTAATAAGTTTTGTTTTCCTATATCACCTCCTGTCACTGGCTTCTGAGTATATTATTGGGCTGGGATTTATCCCAGACAAAGGTTTCAGGTATGCTGTGATGCACTGTCTTCAAAACCAAAGGTAACTACTTCAAATATAGCATGACCACGGCATTTCTGCTTTTAGTTTCTGGTGAGTCACTGGATTTAGTTCCTATTTGGCTAAAAATAGTATTGCCATTTGAGTATTTTCTGACCTTAGGATTCAATCCTAATTGAATTGATTTATTTGACTAACATTTTTTGAGCATTTACTAGGTGCCAAGCACTTTTAAGGTGTTAGGGATTTTTTAGTGAACAAAATGCCTACCCTATAACTACTTTTCTACCCTATAACTGCAGGCCCGTAGATTAGCTTCCTGGTTGCCCCAAGGAGGCCATCAACACCTTCTGCTTTTCTTGATGGTGTGGTGGTTTGGGCAGAGGAGATAGTGCTTTGTTTGACCCATTCATTCATTCTCCACTGCCAATAGACAGAGCATGACAGACCCGTGACTAAAGGAATTTTCATTACTGGGCATAGTTGTTCTTTTGTAATGGGTCAGCCTGTTACAGGGGAACCGCCTCTACTGCCTGACAGCAGTGGTTTAATCTAATGGGTGAGGTCATGCCTTTAGGCAAGCACTGTGTCCCAACTCCACGGAGACTTTTACCTGATGGCTGCTCACCTGAACTGTGAAATCCGGTGGGCGGGCCTCAGATTCCAATTACTTGACTGCTTGTGTCGCTTGGCCGAGCTGCTTGCCTTCCCTGTCCGGGCAGCCCTCACTCTCGGCTCACTTCCCTGATTTCTTCTTCCCTGTGTCATTTGCTGACTTTTCCTCCCACACCCCATTCCTTAAATAAAGGACTCTCTCAGCAAGGTTTTGTTCTTGATTTTGTGTTTCTTCCCTTTTGTTTCTGTACACGCTTCCTGGGCCATATTCTTTTCTGCATGGGCTTCTTCCTCCACTTAGACATACTGATTCTGACATCCTCAACTCTGACCTCTCTTGGGAAATTCCTCCTTTCAAATGATAATTAGGCATTTCATTTTTGTATGTCTTTTAGTTTCCTCCACATGGCAGGTCCAAATTTGAACTAATCTCTCTCCCCTCCCAATTTGATTTTTTTCTCTTGTATTTTGTTATCTTGCTCAATCTCACCTTTGGATCTTATCACTCAAGCTAGAAAGCTCAGTCAGCTTCTTTACTTCCATCCTGTTCACTGTGGTAGTCTGGCTCCAAGATACCCCCCCGATTATCCTTACTTCCTAAATTTGCATCTTTCCCCTGCAACAATGTAGCATGATGTGTGTGGCCTATGTGACTAAGGAATATGCTAGAAGTGATTGTGTGTGACTTCTAAGTTAAGTCATAAGAGAGAATGCCACATCACCTTACTCTTTTTTAGGTCATTTGCTGGAGCAAACCAGCTCCCATATCATGAAAACACTCAAGCAATCCTTTGGGGAAATCCTTATGAAAACGAACTGAAGCCTCTTGCTAATAGTTAGCATTAACCCACCATCCATGCGAATAAACCATCTTGGGAGTAGATCCTCTCAGGGTTGTCCAACCTGTGGCCTACGGGCTGCATGTGGCCCAGGGTGGTTGTGTACGTGGCCCAAAACGAAATCCTAAGTTTACTTAAAACCTTTTCTTTGCTCATCAGTTTTCAATAGTTTATGTGTGTTTAGTCTGTGGCCCAAGACAACTCTTCTTTTCTCAGTGTGGCCCAGAGACACCAAAAGGTTGCACACCCTTAGACCCAATCAACATTCAGGTACTGCAGGTTTGGCTGACATCTTCACTATAACCTCATAAGAGATCCCCAGCCATGACACTAGCTAAACTGTTCTTAAACTTCCTGACCCACAGAAAACTGTGAAAGAATATGTATTTATCATTGTTTTAAGCTGATATGTTTTGGAGTAATTTGTTATTCATTTGTAAACAATTATAAACCATATATATATATATATATATATATATATATATATTTTTTTTTTTTAATAGGGGATGAGCATGAATGCAGTCCCCCACTCCCACAAATTATGCAGTCAGAGTTCTCACATTTGGGGAAAACACAGGGGTCAGCCCATCTGGAGCGCAATGGATAAGCCTCGCCCTGGGAAACATCATCGTGATCATGGTGTTTCCCCTGCCAGGTATTAAACCATATTTTTTAAAAAATAATTTTATTTATTTATTTTTAGGAAGAGTGAAAGGGAGGAAGAAAGAGAGGTAGAGAAACATCAGTGTGTGAGAGAAACATCGATGGATTGCCTCTCAGCTCACAACCTAGGCATGTGCCCTGACTGGGAATCGAACTGGAGACGTTTTGGTTTGCAGGTCACCAAGTTCTTGTTGATATTGCTCTCTAAATATTTCTTAAGTATAACTCATCTTCTTTACCTCCCCTGTTCTAATTTTATGTCTTTATTATTTCTTTCCTGGAACTATTGCAATATCTCCCTGTTGGTTTCCTTGCCTGTAATTAACTTCCTCTCCTACCTTTAAGCCATCTTCCATACTGCCATCAATTACCTTTTTAAAATATAAACCTGATCATGTTATTCCACTGCAATGTAAGTCAGGATAGCCTGAAACATTGTTTCAGTAATAAACAACCTCCAAATCAAGGAGGCTAAGACAAGAAAGGTTTATTTCTTATCTCAGCTACAAGTTTACTGTCATTCAACGGAAGGGCTATACTCATTGCAATCGCTCATGAATCAAGGATGAAAAGCCAATTTTTAATATTGCTAGTCACTGAGTAGAGGTAAAGGATAATGGAGCAAAGCATGCATTTTCTCTTAAATTGTCATTCGGAAGTGACCCACATCATTTCTATTCACATCTCATTGGCCAAAGCAAGTAATGCGATCACTTCTGGCTTCATGTGGGCCAGAAATTTTATCCTATCATGTACCTGCTTAACACTTAGACTTGTTACATATCACTTTCAGGCTAAAGTCCAAATCCTTTTGGGGAACATACAGGGTCCTTTGTGATTTGGGCTCAGTCTACATTTTCAGTATCACCTATCACTCTCTACTTTTTATCCAATGTGCTGCTCCAATTACACTGAATTATTCTGATTTCTGGAATGTTCCATGTACTTTCTTACCTCTGTGCTTTTATACATAGTGTTAAATTTACTAGGCAGACACCTACTCATCCTTCAGCCTTACTTTCTCTTCCTCCGTGAAGCCACTCAGAACTGCCTAAATAGTCACCCCTTCCTCTTTGACCCCATTCTACTTTGTAAATACCCCCATTCTAGAACACCTTCATCACATCAGAAGGCAGGACATTTTTTTATTTCTCTGTCACTCTCCTGTCTAGTTTAGAGCTCTCTTAGAGTAGGAAAAATTTCTTCCTCATGTTTGCATGGCTGTGCCAAGCACAGAGCCTGCATAACATTGGAGCTTAAAAATATTTGTTGAATGAATGTGTAAATATCCTCTCCCCACAATCCCCGAAGATTAATCAGACACGCTCTGCTCTCTGATCCATGGACTTTAAGGGATTTCTGCCATTGTATTTCTTTCCTACTATGTCATCTTGTTTTCCCTACTTTCCAATAAAAGACTGACTCTTTCACTTAAAAACCCAACAAGTCCGTTAGCCACGCCCCATGAATTTCTTTTTCCTGTTAACTAACCTTAAGTAGCTCTGATTGAACTCTCACTTGTGACTCTCAACTAATTTCAATCACATTTAATGTCAATATTTATTGTGCTCTCTACACACCAGACACAGTGCTTTGTACTGGGGATATAAAGACGAATGATAGTGTCTGTGTTCTGAAGTCTTGTACTGAAATACTCTGTTTCGCCCATGTCTTCCGGTGTACCATGGAACCTCATTAGCTGCCTTCATAGAGGAGGCTAACTAAAGTTATTGTTAACATTTTAAAAAAATATATAGAATACATATAAATCTTTTGGAGGAAAGAGCGCCTTCCTTCCCAACACCTATTAACATTCAGGTGATTAGTTGGGAGTGTTAGCCACTTAAACTGGTTAGTATCCAATAACACTAGATTGAATGAAATTGTAGGGCAGGAATCTGGAATCTGGAATGGATATATTTTGTAAGCTGGAGTGATAATTAAGGCAATGGAGAGGGTGGGGTGGGGGGAGCTGGGCACCTTGAAGCGGGTGGGGCCCCTACATTAGAAGGCAGGGCTTTTGAAATGGGAAAGATACTGAGAGAAAGGTTGTAGAGGGTAGAGCTGTGCTGTTCAATATGGCAGCCTCTAGCTACATGTGTCTACTGAACACTTTGAATTTTGTCTAGTCTGAATTGAGATACTTAGTAAATATAAAGTACACAATAGATTTTTGAAGACAATACAAAAAAGCGAAAAGCCCATAATTATTTTTTGTATTGATTATATGTTGATATAATAACATTTTGGGTATATTGTGCTAAGCAAAATATATTATTAAAGTTAATCTCACTAGTCTCTTTTTGTAGCATGGCTACTAGAAAATATAAAATTACATATGTAGCTCATACTTAAGCTTTTCATTACATTTATACCAGACAGACCTGGTCTAGAAGTTAAACATTACCCATTTGGATGTTTGTTGCATCCACCCTCCTTCTTCCCTGTCTTCCCTCCCGTCTCCCTTCCTCTCTCCCTTCCTTATTGAGCATCTTCTACACTCAAGTTCTGTGCTAGACTCTGGGTTACAATGGGGTGTTCCCTTTAGCAACTTCTAATCTAGTATTAAATAAAGTCATGGAAACAAATTATTACACTCTAGTGTGATACATTTTTTAGGCCATAACAATGTGAATCCTTTGTTGGAGTACTTGACTTTGAGGAGCTGATGACATCTGAGCTGACTTTCAGTTCTTCCCACAACCATCTAGGAAAGGGCTGCCCCAAATCAAGTTAGTCTTATAAATATGGACCTAATTAGTCAACAGAAGGCAGACTTCACATTTACTCCAAGGTAACAATGGCCCTTCCTGAGAAAGGAGAGGAGAAAAGGACCTTAAAAATTGGGACAGTACCATGTAAAAAAGCACTTGGTCAGTACTTTACATATACTACCTTATTTCAGCCCACTTACTGACCTTTGAATTATGTATTGTCTCTCATTACAAATAAGGAAACTGAGGCTTAGAGATACTCAGGAACTTGTACATCTCACCTTGGCCAACTATCTTCAGAGAGGCCCTGAATAATTGGGAGTGGTGGTTCAGGGCAAGTCCTCCACCAGATTGAGAAGCAGCTCAAAGAATTACTTTGCTGATTGTCAATTGATAATACATTCTCCTATACAAAGGACATCTCATAGCTTTTAATATTCATGATCAATGAATATTTACAGTAATTTTTGTCCAAGTTCCTTATTTCTACAGTTCTGCTATTTGGTCAAATGTTACTTTTTTTTTTTTTTGATCCCAGTCAGTTCTAAGCTGTTTGCTACACATGTTTCTTGTACGTTATCTTCTGTTTTCAGCTCAAAAGGTTTTCAGTTGTAGCATATGCCTCAAATGAAAGAATTCTTTTATTAATAGGAGAGAATAGCTCTTTCTTCACCTATTGTACTTTTGTTTTCATTTTTAGTTCCTATTTTTCTTTTATCTTTATCAATGATATTATTACTTTCTTTTACATTTTCACTTTGGCTATCCTATTGCTATGATTAATGAATATTGCCCAAGACTATCAAAGTCAATCATCATTTTAGCTACTGTGAATTAATGAAAATGATTTTTAAATTAGTACTGAATTGGCTGAACACAATTCATTTCAAGAAATAAGTCTAGGATGTTTACATCTTACCTCCAATATTAAAAAAATGGTGCCCTTGAAGAAAGTGTTGAGGAGCAGTGTATTTTAGGATAAGGGCACTGGCCAGCAGCTCATGACCTGGTAGCTGGTTATTTTCGTCTCTGTTCTGACATCCTCAGTATTGGCTACATCTTCAGGCTACAACAAAATGGCTGCAACAATTTCAGGCAGTCATCTGCAAAGGACAACCCACCAGATCTTCCAGTGGCTCTTTATTAAGAACAAGAGAAGGCCCCTACAGAATTCTTGCATTTCATTGGCTATCACTGGGTTATTAGCCTGTGCCTGAGCCGATCACCCCAAAGGAATGGCAGGACCCTTCGTGGGATTGTCTTTAGCAGCAGTGACCTTCCCCTGAGGCAGCTGGCTGTATTATGCCTAATGGTTATGTTATGAAAGAAGAAAGAAGAATGGTTATTTTGTAGGCGACCAACAGTGCCTGCTACACAAAGACAGCACAGTTCAATATGGTGCAGATGTAGGTATTTATTTTGGTGGACTGTGGCAGCACAAAGAAACACTAGGTTTAGTTACTTGATTATTAGGATGGTTAAGGAAGCTACACTGAGTAGGTGAACACTATACATGTGTTGAAGTTTCATAGTCAAGCATACGATTATATATATAAGATTGTTATGTTGTTCTGCTGCTGATGAATTCAGGTTTCCACAAGGGAAAACAGATGTTTAAAGCAGAGCTAGAAGAGAGGAGAAATGAATCCAAGTTCTGCTGCATAATATTCAGGTGTTTTATCACGTTAGCTGCAGGAGTCCCCAGAGAGCAGGCAAGATGCTCTGACTCAGATGTTTACACGTAAGTGCTAGATCAAAAATAAATTAGCTTTTTGCTACATCATGCAGCCTGTGGTGGTGTTTAGTCACATCATATTTCTTATTTATTCGCATTAACAGTAGGAATTAACAGGATGAGAATAATAGATTGGACTGAACCAGACCATACTCTCCCTTGGAATAGTGGAAAAATCTGCAAATTCTTGGTTATTTTCAGCAATATATGTGGGCAAGAGCATAGCTATTCCAAACTGGCAGTCAAAAATGTGTTTTTCCCCCCCAGCAACTATGACTTGCATATGAACATGAATGTTAACTGCTATTTTGTTACTGAAAAATCTCTCTCCAAGATTACAAATCTATTTCCATAATTAGAAATCTCTCCATTTCCACCTTTCTCTCCTGCTGCTCTTTGGACCTCTGTTTTATTCAGATGGAGTAAACTCCATGCATATGCTGTTTGCATATGCTGTTTCTTCTAAGAATGCCCTTGTTTCCCTGGGCAAATATATGTTCTTTCCTTCTATACTGAGATCAAGGCTTTGGAAATTCTCCTCACTAATGAGT